ATATATATATAGTATATATATATATATAGTATATATATATAGCATATATATATATAGTATATATATATATAGTATAAATATAGTATAAATATATATATATATATATATATATATATATATATATATATATATATATATATATATATATATATATATATATATATATATATATATATATTGTCCTTCGAAACTCTATACCTTAGACCTAAAACCTTAAACTCTAAGCGCGAAAATTGCAATGGGAACGCTTTCCATCGTAAATCGTGGCTGTTTGCACAAGGATTATGACAATTAAGTCTTTCTGACTAAATATGGCACTGTGGGTTAACTATCCGGTATCTGTCATCCGTGTGTTCTAAGAAAATCGCTGTCATATGTGCAAGGTGTTATATTTCACTTCTCGCCCAGCAAACCAAGCGTCACACTATTTTCATACACAATCAAATTTCGTGTGCAAAAAAAGAAATGGCGCTGTCTAAAACCTTCCTGTGCGCCTTTGCTCTAATCACTGTGGTTGTACAACAGATTGAATCAAGAGAATGCTATCATGATATTCTATCTTTCAAATGCGAGAAGTATTGTTGCGGGGAAGGTCCTATTCATTACCAGTGCAAAGACGACTGCGAAGGCATCGCATGCGACAGTGATGACGACTGTGGAAATGGCTGTTGCCGAGATGATGAATGTGGAAATTGTCCGTTATCCATAACCATCATAGCAATTATCGTAGGATGTGCCGTGGTTTTCCTTATAATTATCATTGTCGCTGCTATATGTTGTTGCCATTGTTGCCAAAGTCAACCAAGGCAGGTCGTAGTTGGACGCTGGGCTGAACTACACAACGCAAATAATCTGAGAGTGGCCAACCCTGCAGTTAACGTGGTTCACACTAGCTCTAATGCCTACATGCAACACTAAATGCTAAGAAGAAACTGTGGGACTTTCAGCTGATGTGTCAATGTGTTTTACCATTAATTTGACCAGATTTGATTGCTTATACTACAATTTTTTTTTATATAATATACGTAAAGAATGTACAAACAGATGGATTTTTATTACTGATGAATCAGATAGATTTTGTAAATTCTAGGAGTTGTTTAGATCATATATGTTTAGATCAAGCTATATAGCTTAATCGTGTAAAACTCAGAAACGGACTAGCTAGCTTTCACTTTCACTTTCAATACCAGGGTCCGTCATGGCAGAAATCTTAGAAATCGTGTTAGAATCAGGAATTCAACTTGAAATCAACAAGCAATCGCTAGAAATAACCTAAGATAATTTAACAATCAGAAAACCCAAACATTCTTGCAAAGGCTTCAAACGTGGTATTCAGCCACGGCACGAACAAGTTTGTTTGCGTATTACGACATTGCATAATTATCACAATATTTTTGTTTTTAAATTGCTCCAAAGTTTGAGTAAACCATACTTTTAGTTAACGAAATTTAGTACTACTGTATCTTATATTTCATATAATCTTAAAATTGGTGTTGAAATCAGTAAAAATAACGAAATCAGCTCAGAAATCAAGTTTTTTCGGAATGTCGTACATATTTGATAATTGAAAGCCGTGGGTGTCATATAGTATTGTTGCCATACCAGGAGGTCATATAATATTAATGCTTTTACTGACTCTTTACTTGCATGTAGAATAAAATTTGTGTGTATCAAAAATATCGCGAGAATCCTGCTAAATGTTTCGACATTTTCCACCTGGAACAAGTAGAGAACTACTTGATTAGCTAGGTCTCAAAATAATACGGGAATTGCGTTGATTTTCACTCGCTACCCACTCATCTCAGGCCAACCTCGTTCCCAGGATCTTCCCTCGTTCCCAGGTTCACAGGTTAGATGCTGGGCATGACCCAACTTGCGAACGGGCGTACTCTGGGTACGAGATTGCTAATACGCCTGTTCAGGATACAGGAAAAGATCGAAAAGTCGAAGGTCAGCTAAATATTCTAATTCTACTTTCTTGGCATGGGGGTTTTTATATGAATCCCTTCAATGCTTATAACGTCTTGCTTTTGTATGTATAATTATACTGTTAATGGTGAAGCTAGCCATTATTAAACTAAACTAAACTCTACATGTCCTGTTTCGATAAACGAGTACTGATAGTACGATTAAAAACTGTTCTGTTAACATTCCTATATAGACTAAACAATATTAGTATAAACCTACTAGTAGGCTATCACATATCGTACCTTCTGATTGGCTACGCTACTAGTAGGCTATTAGTGATAGCCTACTAATAGAAAATTCAAACTGGCGGAAAATTCGCGTTTTGCACTTTTGCCGAAGTGTCTGATGATTTTTTGGACGACTTGTTGAACAATTCTGTACTAAAACCCCCGAAAAAAGCAACAAAAATATGGAATGGCAATTTTTAAGGGGAAGAAAATAGACAAAATAACATACACTCAATGAAATTTTAAAATAAAAACTGAATTTTGTAAAACACTTTACGCGAACAAAAACTAAAATATTTGTTTACCTTTAGTGGTTTTATAATGTTTTTTTTTGTGTATTTTTGTATTGTGTTTGCAGCCTAGTTGTAAATTAATGTTAAAGTTTATACTAAAACAATTAGACAACTCGGCCTCGTTGTCCATGAGCAAATAGTCAACTCGGCTTCGCCTCGTTGACTATTCCGCTCATAGACAACTCGGCCTCGTTGTCTAATTGTTAAATAGTCAGCCAATAAAGGACTGAGAAATACTTTGATAGACATTTAGAAATATGATATTAGGCCGCATGTCAAAATAGCGCAAGAATAACCAGATGCCTGCATGAATGCATGAAACAGAACATAGTGAAACAGTACCGAGATCTGTAATTTATACTGACCTGAAATCTGATTGCTAACCTGTGGTTTGAACGTTTATATGGAGATTATGCTAACCTGAATATGTAAAACGGTGTAAAGTACTGGATATTGCTACAGAAGTATAAGTAATATTATCATGTAAATATCAATTGTCATCATATGCGCGTTTATAGGTATCATTGCATGTTAAATATTAGTCTTTTACATAGTTTAATTTCATTTTAGATCGAATTGTTTTGTTTGTTATTTCAAATATTAATACGATATACAATATCCAGTCGACGTGTTTGATTTATCGACTTCGCGAACCATATCA